ACAATTAATTTCCTATTAATTAAATTACAGTCCCAAAAAAAAAAAAAAATGTCATAAATAATTACCTCCATTGCCATATACTCAATATAAATAAAGATTGAGGCCCACAGTTTAAATAATCGATGTAATGGGATCTTGGGAAGGGATTGTTCATGGCTATGCACGAAATAAATTCAATCACTTCAAATTATTACTATTGTTATTTTATTTATTATCATTATTTGTTTTTTTATTGCTGTGCACATCAAGCTGAATTTTCTCTAACTATAGGAGAGAAAATAAACAGAGACGACAAAAAATGCAATATATACAAGCATGGACCCAGGAATGAAGCTTAGGAGAGGTCAATGGTTAAAGTAACAATTAACATAAATATAAATATAAATATTTACATTAATAAAATTCTCATTAACTAACATATTTATAATTGTTTTCAATAGAGGTGGAAAAGTAACCTGCCCAGCCCGACTTGACCTGGCCCACGGCGGGTTACTTCTTTTGGCGGGTTGGTCCTAACTCGCCCACCAACAAAGGTAGGCCGGGTTAGGCCCGCCATTTTTTGGGTAATGGCTAGCCCAACCCAGCCCGCCAACTCTAACCCGTCGGGTTAGGCTGTGGGTCGGGCCGGGTTAACCCTATTTTTTTATTTTTATTTTTTGTTTTATTTAGTTAACTTTTCAAATAAATAATTAACGATTTATAAATGAATAAATGTAATTACTTTTAGTTAACTTTTCAAATATCAATAATTCAATTAAATTAATTTTTTTTATTAACATTATTAACATTTCAAATATTAATTCAATTTTAATACAATAAAATTGTAATATAAGAAAAATTAGATTTATTCATTAAATTGATGAAACTTTAGCATAAGAATGAATTATATTTTATACAAGACATGGAAATTTAAGAATAAGACTTCAGTATTTAATTTTTTTATATTTTACATACCATAAAAAATAATAATAACAATGTATCAAATATTACGAAGTTTTATACATTTTAATATTTATGATTTAGAAGTATAGTTTCATATTATTGTGTAAAATTATTTATAAGAGTTCAATCATAATAGTTTAATTAAAAGAATTATAGTTTCATATTATTGTGTAAAATTATTTATAAGAGTTCAATCATAATAGTTTAATTAAAAGAATTAAAAAAATGGGGGAAACTTGAAAAAAAATAATTTATTTTTTAATTTTTTTAATTTTTTTTGGGCCAACCCGTCGGGTTGGCTATTGTAAACAAATAGCAACCCGCCGGGTTGGTAGGTTGCCATATAGCAACCCAGCCCCCCCGGGGGTTGCATGCGGGTTGGGTTCAACCCAGCCCGTCTATAAAGCGATCCGGGTTGAACCCTTTCTAATGCGGGCCGGGTTAGGGTTGACCCGCCTAACCCGACCCATTTGTTCCACCTCTAGTTCTCAACGAGATTTCATCTTTTGAAAATATTGTATAATGACTTTATTATCAATATTATCAAATACATCATACTCTATATACACAATTAAACTACCATTCAACCATGAATCATTTATTCTATTTCACAAACGATTCTTCACAACATTCATTGCAGAAAATGTTCTATCTACAATAGCAGTGGCAATCGGTAAAATCAATGTTAATTTTATTAACAGACAAACTAATGGAAGCACTATATCCTTCTTAGTTTCAACCATTACTCTTGTAAGATCTCCAATGTTATTCAATTCTATAAATTTGATATTAGAGCATACATCCAAAATGTAAATATCAAATTGAGAATCAAGTGCTATGAGTTCTAAGTTAGAAAAATCTTTTGGATAAAGTTCAGCAAGACGCATCAATTTTTGCTTATTAAAAGTAACAAAATTTTCATTTGAGCATAAGCATGCCAAACAAATAAGTAATTCAGTGTTTACTTCATTGAAACGATTATTCAACTCTTGAAGCTGCACATCTAGGATACTATAAAATACTTTAATATAGTAATACTATACGTTTGTGATACCTTTAGTCTTCCGTTGTGATCACCCTTGAATAAAAAATTTTTCATCCATGTTTGGAATATCAATGTCATGTTTGACACAAACAAAAAGAACAAATTTTGCTAGGTAAATTCTCCTATTCACTATCTTTCACCAATTGTAAAGCTTGCTTACATGCTTCAACCAAATTCATAGCATTTACAATATTTTGATCTTTTCTTTGTGGTGCTTGAGAAAGTTCATTTGTAAAACTAAATAAATCTTTTATCATAAATAAACTAAACACAAAATTAAATGGTTGCATAAATTTCAATATATTATTAGAGAAAAGTGGGGATCGGATAGATGAGGTGGGGCATGCTGGGCAAGAGAAAAAGTTGGGATTGGGGAAAAAGGGGAAAACATATTATTAGAGAAAGTCAAAATTTTTAATAAATTTAATTTACTGTAATTTTGTAATTTAGTCTTTTTGTGGGACAAAATTGAAAAATAAAAAAATAAAACCACCGTGAGGTCACTTGACCCATGTGACCCTATGTGGGTCTGCCCCTGAATATATATATATATATACACACCAAATGGAATGACAAATAGAAAAGATACATGGACTAAGCTCAATTTTATTTTGAGGTTATTCAGAATATAAGAAGAAAAATGCTACGGACACTGACGCTTTGCACCAAATTTTTACACTGAATGACATGTCCATTGAATCAGACGAGCCATGTATCACATTAACAAATATTCTACACATGAATGGCCGTCCATCAAATATGGATGACCATCCATTATTATTGGATGATCGTTCATTTGAAATAGACTTCCGTCCATATTATATGGATGACCGTTCACCTATAATGGACGCCCGTTCATAGTTTAAACTAAAAATATTTGGCCTAAATAGTTTATGGATGCTCGTCCTCATAATCTTTTAATATTAACAAATTTTAAGGCTAAACGGCCATCTCTTAATTTTGACCGCATGATATTACTTGGTTTTACCAGATGGATACCACCGTCAGTTGTATTTTCAGAGCTAGTTTTCTTTTCTATTTCTGAAGCATCACCACTGATAGAATGAAAAGGAGTCACACCTGAATTCCCGGACCGAAGAAACGTAGCTTGTAATCCATTTGCATATGCATCTGAAAACAGAAACCAATCTGACCATACTTGCAATATTTTTAAAACTCGTTCCTGCCAAAACTCAAATAATTATCACATCAAAACCAAAAGCAGAACAAATGAAAAATACAATAGGAAGTCAAAATGAAAGTTGCCATTATTGCTCACCTTTAGGGCCTCAGTAGTAATCCTTCCAATTATACTATGATACAAGTCATTAAAGCTCTCCATTATGTCAGGTAATGTTGCTTCAATTCGGTACGGTAAGTAGATGCATTTTTTACAGGAGCACTACTATTATGGAGAACATCAGAGACGAGCATGAGCCTAGCAACTTTGGTTGGCATAGGGGTCTCCTTAAGAGTCAAAGATTATGTCAGGACTTCGACTATCTGCAAGATAAAACCACCAAGTACGTCTAAATTTCACAGTAAAGAGCTCAAGAGATGACATGCAGAACTGATCTTTTCAAAAAAAATTTAAATCAAACAATGGACAGCCGTCCATCTAAAAGGGACGCCTGTCCATTGAATATGGACGTCGGTCTATAATTTTTGTTTTAAATTTTTTTTATTTTAAACGATGGATGGGCGTTCACTCTAAGTGAACGCCCATCCATTTACTATGGACTCCCGTCCATAATAAATAGACACCCGTCCATATAAGATGGACGGGCGTCCATTAGTTTTCTTTTAAAATTTTTTAGATGGGCATCTATCTTATATGGACGTCCGTCCATAGTAAATAGACACTCGTCCATATAATATGAACAAGAGTCCATTAAATATGGGCGGGGGTCCATAAATGTTGGACGGTCGTTCATTCACGAAAGATTCCAACGTGGTTGCATCTGACTGGTTGCCATGTCCTTTGGTACAAAAATTCGGTGTAAAATTTCGGTATCTGTAGCATTACTCATATAAGAAATAGAAATAACCAAACAAGCAGTCGACTGGGAAACAATTCCGAAGCGTTATTCAGTACAAACATTAACTGAATCAAACCATAAAACATGGAAATTATATCTTCCCCTTGAGGTTTGATGAAGTACAAGTGTACAACAACCACAAATTTTAGAAAGTGACAGATACACCCAAAATAACAATTCAAGAACACAAAGATTAAAAAAATAAATTAATTAATTAAAAAAAAAAAATTCATATAAGCTGCAACTGGAATCGGAACTTCCTGCACTTGCTGAAGACTTTGACTGAATCTCTAGCAAAGCTGCGACAGTTGAACAATACAGGTTACACGGTAAGTAAAATGTAGATATTAGAAAATAATAAAAACAAAAAAAGAACTTCTGCAGCGAATAAAATTTCTCACTTGGTGGGGTGCCTGGATCAAGGGATGCAATTGTCATACTACACATGTTACCAGACCAGTGCAATTCCAAGAAACTTATTTGTGTAACAAGCATAATCCTATATATATATATATAGATGAGAAACTTTTACACTATATTATAGGAATCATCAGAAGGTAAATATGTTAACATATATTCAACATAGTCAAGGAAAACTATGGGAAGAATTTATGAATCGTATAATTATAATTGTTCATATTATAGTTAAAATTTTGAATTAAAAAGCCTACAGAAACAATATCAACCGAAACTACAGCAACAAAACATGAGTCCAAAAACTGCGAAAATATTTTTATCAGTAATACGGCTTGTTTTCATCCGTGGATTGTCAGACTTATGAACTACTGGGTAAAACCTATAACTAAGAAAAAATTATTTTGAACTTCGCAGATAGCTAGATTAATTTCTTGTTACGGCAATAACACGTATTGAAGGGTTTTCCTACAATAACGTTATAGCTAGCACATTTAAACAATTTCCCAAGCTTAATTATGACAACGAAAATAAGAAGAGAGATTTCTACACGTACCTGATCATTCATTGTCCCTGGATGATGAAGCACCTTCAGGGTCAAGATGAATCTCCAAATTAGGAATGTTTAGGGACTTCTGTCTACAGCTTTCACTCAGGCGAGGAGATTTTTGTATCTTCAGTTCTCTAAGGGCGGTGAGCTTCTCCATCCCAGCCGGCAGAGATGACAATCCTGAGCAACTCATAATCTCAAGTTTTTGAAGGGCTGTAAGATTTGCAAGCCATGTTGGTAATTCTGTGAGCTTGGGACATTTTTCAATACGGATGTCTTCTAAAGTGTTAGCAGACCGTTGAAGAATCAACTGGGGTAAGTCCACTACTTGCAAGTCATATATCATGAACACTTTAAGGTTCAGACGGGGGTCTTTATCTTGCAACTCCCACTTCAGTTTAAGCTTTGGACAACTGTATATCACCAACTTCTCCAACCACTTCAGATCTTGTACTTCGTCTGGCAACGAGGTCAAGCTATGACAGCCTAGAAAATCAATGTTCGGATGGTGGTGAGAAGTTCCATCCCGTCATGCAAACTTTCTAGATTCTTACACTTATAACAGTGCAGATACTGGAGGGATTTGAAACATTCAGCTTCAATTTTTGGTAGATGCTTCTACTGTGTAGTTAATTCCAAATATCTAAGGCTAATCATCTTCTGTATGGTGGGTAAATTCTTAAGAGCTGAACAACCAAGAAGTTTTAAGGTTTGCAAATTCAGAAGCTTACAAATAGTCTCACAGAGTTTCTCCAAATCTGAATTCTCAGATAAATCAAGAAATCTCAATTGTTTCAATGCACCTACAGATTCTGGCAGCTCTTGGAATTTTAAACCACTTAAGGATAAGAGCCTCAGGCACTTAAAATTCGATATCCATTTATTATCGAAAGATTCAGTAACACTCTGAGATTGTAGACTTCGCATGATGATGCTACGAAAATTGTTGGAAGTAGATGGAACTTTTTTATTACTATTTCCAACGCCAAGAAATGACAAATGTCGAGCATTTACGTCCGTGTGCAAAATTCTGAGATCTACTGTTTTGCAATCTCTTTGTCCAACTTCCTCAACAAAATCATATATAAGATTGTGCATTTTAAACGTGAAAAAATGCACATGATCTTCAACATCTTGAAAGAAACACCTTAAAAATAATTTCTCCAAATATTGCATCCCAACATCTTCCATCTGCGAGTCTTTTTCTGTAGAAGTTGCAAGAAAACCATGTGCCTTCCAATGATAGACCAGATAATTACTATTAAAACATGCCAAGCATCTTCGCAAATGAGATGGCAAACGAGCATAACTCAATTTCAATAAGGATAGGATTTTCTTTCCGATTTGGCCTGCCCTCCATATTTCATCATCATCAAGTCGCACCCAATCAGGCATATTTGTGCTTTGATAAAGTAGGGTTCCTATAGTTTTCACAGCTAAAGGAACACCATCACATTTTTCTTATTTCTTTGCCAACATCAGTGAGCTTTTGACTTGTTTCGTCTCCAGCATCTATAAAGGCAGCCGACTTCACAAACAACGACATAGAAGCCCCTTGAGAAAGGCCTTCTAAATAATAATTTTTATCAACTGTTCTCATTATTTTTGCAGCTTCGGTACTACGTGTAGTAACCACAATTTTACTCCCATTTGCTTCCTGCGTCAACAAATTTTTGAATTTTTCCCATTTGTCATTATTTTCGTTCCAAACATCATCCAAGACGAGCAAAAATCTTTTACCAGCCAATGCTTGTAGCAAACATCCTTCTAACTTATCAGCTGCTAATTCAGCATCTGTTTTTTTTTTTTACCAATTGCAGATAAACAAGTTTCTTTCATCAATGTAATTATATCAAAGTCCTCGGGTACAGTATCCACATTTTTAGACGAAAATGTTCATCTATCCTTTTGCACTGTAGACCTCGTTGGCTAGGGTGGTTTTTCCTATACCTCCAGTTCCAACTATAGGAATTACTGAGACCCTTTCATCTTCTTTGTTTGGTTTCATCAAAAAGTCTATTATGATGTTTTCCTTATTTTGGTCTTGTCCAAAAACATCACAAGTACCCACAAAGGTGTGATCCATCACCAACTTCGTTAAATAATTAGACCAAGACACAGGGTTTTCGACCTTAAATATAGACTTATAGCTATTAGCAGCTACCATTACATCTAACCTTTTTCTGATATCCTTTATTTTACTATAATATTTTACACTCAGATGGAGTTTGATTACCTGTTTCGCCTTTACATCACTGTTAGACCAGTCGTCACAGTCACAAAATTAAACCTAAATACCGTAGTTAGCGGTAAACAGGATCGAATCCACAGGAAATAAGAATAACAACCTAATGTATTTTGAGTAGTGGAAATGAAATTGAAAATTGATTGATGAAACTAAATAAACTAAATGCAAATAATGAAAGAGTGAAATTAAAACTAATAAAGACTTTATAATAAAAGTGTTGCCGTTACGGTTTTGGTTCGACACGAGACCGACTCACACAATTCTTCTCCACCCTCTACGATCCCCTAAACCTACAAGGCAAGGTAAATCAATGAAATGGCCTCCCGACACTCTAGGTATAATCTATCTTGTCTCACCCGATCACTCAAGTTCGATTAGTTAAAGACTATCATTAAACGCCGAAAAACGCTACAAGACAATACCACTAGTTGGTACGCGATTAACAAATACAATTTGTCAACACGTAAAATCCAATCAACCAACTTCACAATAAACGCAACAATAGTAGAAATTAAATTAAATCCGAACACAACTCAATTACAATCGATGCGAAGTAATGAAAAGCAATATTCATCATTTAATTATTTCAAACCAACGTTTATCATTCAGTAAGTTCTATGAAAACATTAAATCATAATGGTCAACAATATTCATCACAAATTATGCTTAAATCATATTAAAGTATCGAAATCAAACATGAAACGAAAACAAATATAATTTGAAACACAATACTACCAAATGTTGTACAATCGGGCTCATCCAACTAGTCGAGAGCTGATGAGGAGATCAATGGAGTCAATCTCGATCTCGCCTACACCGTAACAGACAATCGGGAGCTTAGCCGCTCATGGTGGTGATGACGGAGGCTGAAATAGTGGAAACGGAGTTGATCATGGCGGAGAGGAGGTAACCGACAGCGATATGATGCGAAGAAGGGCCGAAAATGACCAACGGACAGCCTGGAATACGAACAGCCGCACTCGCCGGAAAACATTAATTTTCCAGCGGGTTTTCCAAAAAACGGTGGCGAAAATGGGATTCGAAGGTACCGATGGAAAGCTCTGGTGATGAGGAGTTCAGATCAGGTCCTAGGGAGATGAGAAGTCGCCGAAAATCAGCAAGATCTGGACTGGAAGATGAAGAGGCGCGGCGGTAGAGTAGCGAATTCCGACGGTTTTCGCGGCGGCTGAAGCTAGGGAAGTGTAGATCCAGCCATGGGGAAGGGAGATCGACTCTTGGGGAGCTGAAACGTCACCGAAAAATGGCCAAATCTGGCCGGGAAGACGAAACGTCGCGGTGGGAAGATGAAGCTCACGGTGGCGTGCGTGTTTCACGGTGGTGATGAAGGGATGATGGTGACCGGAGCAAGGGGAAGCCGAAACGTGGCCGGAAAAGGAGCTGAAAGGTCGCCAGAGCTTGATCGGAGAAGGTGAATACTTTTGATGGGCGGCAGCCACCCAATCTGCATCTTCGAGCGGTAGTTTTATACAAAAATATGAAAAATTTCCATTTGGTCCCTACATGATTGAAACATGACAAAATCAGTCCCTTGAAACATGACATTTTACCCCCTAAACAGCATAAATGAGACAAAATCACCCTTAATCCATAAACTACAACCTAATATCAACTCATATACTTTCCAAAATCATTCCAAACACGTTAAATTCATAAAAAAAATATTATGAAGCAATTTTCATAAATAAATTCATAAATTCTTTAATTGTCTCAATATACTTCAATTTAATCACACACAGGGTATTTTTATCACCAAAATAGAATCACTTTCGTAGACTCTAACAGTCACACTCCAATTCATCGAACACATCCTCTGAATCGTACAACAGATCTGAAAGATTTGCAAGCAGCTCCCGGAGCTCGCTTTTCTGCGTCTGCTGTTCCTCCGCATTCTGTCTTTTCTGTGTCTGACGTTCCTCCGCATCCTCTCTTTTCTGAGTCTGCTGTTCCTCCGCATTCTCACTTTCTTGTGTAGGCCGTTCCTCCAAATTAAACAGTGAGTCTCTGATTTTGGCCAAGGTTACTTTGACCCTCCTTGTTTCTCTTAGAAGAACCCCCGGCACACGTTTTTCTTTGGAGTGAATTTTGTCTGTCGCCCTCAAAATGGTAGTTGAAATGCTCCACGGCCATGTTCTTTGAGAGGAAAGAAAGACAAGGGTGCAGACTAGGCTTTGATTTTTTGATAATGAGTTCGTTTACTTTTTATGAACCCGTATATTATGAAACAAGACAACGTGGGAGTACGGGACCCTTAAAATGGACTTTACATACCGGTAAGGATTTAACCACTTACATGCAAAGGCCGGGTAACATTACCGGTTACATAACTCAAGGGTCAGGTTTTATAATAACTTCAACTTTTTATTTACATCGTTACACTAACTAGAAGAGAGAAAATTGTTTGCCCCTCCAAAGAATAAGAAAGCCATGCTTTTGGGGTAATTATGTCAATTTTAATCAGAATGCCCCTCATAAATTCTTAAAGGCATCAAATAAGAACCAAAACTATAATGTTAAACTCCATCAAGAGGAATTGGTCTCAAGATATTAAAAATGTGAAAGACTATTTTACCCTTTATACTTTGAAGGAGCTTAAACGGTGTTAATGGTTTTGATTCTTATTTGATGCATTTCTGAAAGAATAAAACTATGTGCACTAACCAATGTGAGTTCATCTAAATCTTACTGCTTACGTCCAGGATTGAGTTATAGTTTTTTTTTTTTTTTTTTTTTTGTGTTAAGTGTTAAACACTAGACCAAAAAATAATTCTAATTAATGTGATTTTTAATGTTTCAGAAAAATTATTTAAAAATGTATAAAATATTTATTCAAATCATACTTTTAATATGTTTTCACTAATGTTCTTTAAAAGCGATATTGTAAATAGTGTTGGATGAACTCTTAAAGTATTTCTCAATGTTTTATAAAAAAATTGTATTCACCTTCTGAAGTTACAATCCTTGTTCCGCCATTGAAAGATAGAAGATTAATAATTATAAAATATACTCACGCTTGTAAACTTTGGAGATTTGTAAAACCTTTCGCTTTTTTGGCTGTCCACTCCGAAATACAGAGGGCTTTCCTGCTATTGTAGTTAAAAGAGACCCACCAGTAGATAGCTGCTTTGTAGCTAAATTTCCATGTTTTTGAAGCAATTTTATGCCAAGCCTGAGACATAATGATGGATAGAAATTTGAGATTGTCAATTTCAAATTTAAACATTAAAGAAATTGACTAAAAATATGCATCAATACTGTAAAATGAAACTTCATTGCAGTAGCGAAGTTTCTAATTGGCCATGCCATTGGAGACACGAAAAATATCTGCGCCGTAGTAGTACTTGGTAGAAAAGGAAAGAATTAACTCACAATAAAATCCTACATTTATAAGCGAATTTATGAACGAGACGCCAGAATCATTGGTAAAACTTGTTGAACCAGCATAGCTCAGACAAATAAATCGTTCAAAGACGACAATCGTTTTAATCCAATATTGTTATCAAAAAATCATCGGTGAATTATTCAGTGGTCATCAAATTTTAATGACCAATTGCTATACTACAATATCAATATATAATTATTGGTCAATTGATAAAATTTATAAATCAAGTAATAGTGGCCAAAAGGCAAAATCTTATGGAGAAAGGTCTGACACTAAAACTTTTAGATCCCTACTAAACACCATTGCAAGTTACGTAGACAGATAAATCATTCAAATATGACAATCATTTTGATACCAATATTATTACCATTAATACATTGGTTAATTTTTCAATGATCGTCGAGTTTTTTTCTTGGATAGTTAATGAAAAATTTAATAAATATTAAAATTTTCAAATTAAGAAAAAGCTTTAAAAAAAAAAAAAAAACAAACAAAAAACCAGTTGCACCAGGGATAATGCCGACAATACTAGCCTGATTTGCTCAGTGTGGCTAGGTCAAGGCCACCCTAGGTCGTTGCGTTTGGTGGGCTCCAATTTAACCACATCGGGCTAATCCAACCATATCGGACAACCTGGCTTTGCCTTGATTTTGCCAAGCTAGCCAATTCTGGCTAATCGAGACTAGTAGTGTTGGCCTTGTCGTCAGCGTTGTTGCCTGATTTTTTTTGAAAATTTTAATTTTTTTT